TATTATAACCATAGTGTTAGACTGACAACTGGGTGGATTGTGGCTGAAGTCCATTTTCAGCTGTGGAACCTCTCTTGTTGACTTGGACCCAATCCTATTCTCTTCACCTAAGTTCTAGTATGGTCAAGTGAGTAAAGTGATGGACAACAGAGGAGGAACATCTAGGCTGAAATTTACTCTCAGCCACACAAGCTGACTGAGTGAGTCTGGATCAATCAACACTTTTCAGCCAAACTCTTGACAGAGACAAAACAAGAAACTAGAGTCAACAAAAAGACCGGACAACCATTCGTTTGGGATGGTATGAGGACTCTTGGCAAGGGCAAGGAATTGGACTACAAGACTTCCAAGGCCTCTTCCAACTTTATGATTCCAATTTCTTCTTAAAGTCCCTTCAGGTATATTGAAAGGACTATAAAAGTGCCTAAGAAATGGAGAATGACCAAAGTGTGCAAGAAGGCTCAGTGGATCAAGTTTCCATAGTTCTTGACAAAATCTTCTTGCAGAGGAACACCAAGTCAGAGGTGGAGAATCTCTGCCTCCAAACTCAGTTTCTAGAGAAGGGATTGCTGTCTTTCTACGGTAGACAATATCAAACTTTTTTTTCCATTGGTCTATGGCAGTGGTGGCGAACCTATGGCACGGGTGCCAGAGGCGGCACTTGGAGCCCTCTCTGTGGGCACGCGTGCCGTCGCTCCAGTCCTAGGCCTTCAGCTGGGTTTTATAAAACCTTTTCGCTTTAGGCCTCCGCCACCGTGTACAAAAAAAAAAGGTTCAATCAATTAGTCAATTTCAACTTCTCGCGGGAAAAATAAAGATCTTGCAAAGTTGGAATTGATTGATTGAACTTTTTAGTCCCACCCCGTCTGCCATTACCACCCCAGCCACGCCCACCCAATGGGCCACACCCTCCCAATGGGCCATGCCCACCCAATGGGCCACACCCAGCCAATGGGCCACACCCACCCGGCACCCGACGATGCGTAAGTGGGTTTTGGGTTGCAGTTTGGACACTCGGTCTCTAAAAGGTTCGCCATCACTGATCTATGGAGATTCTCAGTCATCCAGATCATGGGTTGTCCCAAAAGTGCTTTTTTCAAAGGGCAAATGGACTTTCTTAAAAAAAAAAAAAAAACCACCGTTGGGATTTATTTCATTTATTAAATGTATCTGCCGCCCCTCTCATCGACAAGGTGACCCTTGAAGAACAAGCAGCTGGAATAACGTAAGGCAGCTTCTCGTAGAAAAGAATTATATGGCCCCTCCAGATATCTTTGCTTGCAGTTCTGCCACTAAACAAAATTCAGAACGTCTGAAAATAATCACCCAGACAAAAATGACATCTTGGTTTCCTTTCAATCCCAAGATTGTGATAAGAGAATGTAAAGATTGTAAATGCCACTTCTATGTTACGATGGGGTTTTAAGTTCTGGGTAATTTTCTACAGCACTCTTAAGAAATTCTCTCTCATTTTGCAAGACCTCGTTCTCTTATTAAGATGACTATTTGGTGATTAGCATCACGCCTTTTGCTCAGCTGGCCTTTAACTCATTTTAATATTTAATGTGCAATAAATGACTCACTTGATGAACTCATCCGGTGTTGCAGAACAGATAAAACTAACAATGACCACCGTGACAAATGTCCTTTTGAGAAAGTTATGCAACTCCCCTCCCTTTTACAATAGTGTTACTTATTTGCAGTAAGAAATATGAAGTAGTAATAAACAAACCAAAACAAATATGTTTTCCAAAGGATAAGCCTCCAGGAAATCATCAATCAATGCTTTACTCTCAAAACGTGAATCGTTATATACTGATTATATTTGAAACTCTTTCTCAGCTTTTAAAAGATAAAAATCTAGATGCTAGAAATCCAATTATCTCAGTATACAATGAGTATACTTGTGCAGATAATTTAATCAGATCAACTATCTTATGGATATTCACCAGGAGTTTAATTTGCTACCCTTTTCTTTCTGAGTGAGGAAGCATCTCCAATGCAGCTAATTTCATGCAGAAAAATGAACGATTGGGCTAGGAAAAGCATGAAAATTAAGGCACTCCTTCAAACAAACTATTTTTCCAGGATGAGACAATATTTACAGTAAGTTAATTAAGAAAAGCTTTCGCCACTAGAAGCACAAGAACAAATTAAAGGATGGATGCAATGGAAGCGAACACAAGGAAAAGAACGAACTGGTTCTCCCCTCATCTGCATTTAGCCATGACTGATTTTTTGCTTCGCGTTGTACAGTGCTACCTTGGTGCTCAACTGCTTTGAAACTCATCAAAATTGGTACTCAATGCACTTTGACACGAAAATTTTGTCCCGATAATCATTGTTTGTTTGGTACTCAATGCACAAGCTAGAACTTGTCTGGGTCTGCGGCTTTGTGACTCACTACATTATTTCTTGTGTGAAAAATTTGTCCGATACTCATAGGTTTTGGTACTCATTGCGCATCCCAGAACCAATTAGCAATGAGGACCGAGATACTAACTGTACTTTGAACTACTGTTTTGAAAATCATATTCATGAGTTTTGTCAGTTTGAAAAGTGAGAACCAAGGTAAGAGAAATTGCCATCCAATGTTACACGCTCCTGTTGAGTCTGTTCGCCTCACATGTATAAATCAATTTCTTTATGATCAGAGATCAACGATAAAAACAACCCAATAAAATAAAATACATAAAATAAAAACCCCTATGTGAAACAAACAGGAATCTGAAACTGAACCATAGAAAGCACTGTGCTCATAATACCTAGTCACTTAAAAAAAAAAAAAAAAAAAAACTTGGCTATCGCTGGCCAGGTATTTAACGTTCTACGGCATTTCTTGTGACAGCAATGATTTTATTTCTCTCTGAAACCAGTCTTTTTTTTTTTTTTAACTATTCATGGCATGCTGTTAGAGTCTGCCTCTCTGCCATTCTGCACCATGCTATCTTTGGTCTTCTAATTACAGATTAGGACCTCCTTTTTAAGGAAGAACAGTGCTGTGTTTCTGAAATGAATGAAGCAGCTCTGATTTTTTTTCTTCCTTTTCCCCTACGGCGGAGAAATATAGTTAAATTAACATTTTCCGAGACACGTATGTTTTGATGATGGGTGCCTGTAGATTCTGTCTTCCGTTCAATCTCTTTGAGGCATTGTAATGAGGAAGCGAAGCCAGGAAAAATAAAGGAAGTTTTACTCAAATGAAAGGTTAAATGCTACTATGTTCCACACCAAGAATGAGCTGGCTCCAGTTTAAATGCAGCCAGGATGATTTCTCGTTTTTAAATCCGAATGATTGCGGTTCCTGGATACAACAATGAGAAAGCAAGAATCTAAACCTCGAGGTCTCGTTTCTCTGATGCTAACACAGACTAATAGGAACTTGTCGGATCTCGCATATAGAGGGCAGAAGTATGAAAAATATTACTAACTACACCCTCTGATGCTCAATTTGCGTAAACTGATGCCTGGCATGCGCCTTCCAAAATGAAACTGTCTTCATTAATTTGATTCCCTTCCACTCTGCTCTTTGGCGTTTAGGATATCAATATTGCACAATCCATCTTCCCTCGTCTGATGAAACAGGCAGCCCCATGATGGGAAAAGAATAAAAATACATCATCGGGGGCCACTGTTGCTAGGCGAAGAAAGATAGGTCGTTTTTTTCCTGCAATGGGACTATCATTGTTCAGCCCAAGCTGCCTGGAAAAAGATGGGACAGCTCGCAGGGAGGGGGTATTAAACAGCATATTCTCAAGCCACAAAGATATGTTCTTTGACTTTGGGGGGGGGGGAAGAAAGAGACAACTCCAATCCAGAAAATAATCACCTTTTAGGGCAGGGGTCTCCAATCCCCAGGCCATGACCCAGTACCAGGCTGTGGTCTCTTGGGAATCGGGCTGCGCAAGCGTCGGGCGAGCGCACAAAACTCCATTTGTGTAAGCCAGTGGTTCTCAACCTTTCTAATGCCGCAACCCCATAATACAGTTCCCCATGTTGTGGTGACCCCCAACCACTTATACATCACCGGGTGCCAGGGGCGTGGCCAAAGAAAAGGGGGAAAAATGGCAGACAGCCTTGTTTGGCGACCCCCGTGAAATGGTCGTTCGACCCCAAATGGGGTCCCGACCCACAGGCTGAGAACCCCTGGTGTAAGCAGTGAGTGTGCACTCGCCCATTTGTGCAAGGGCACCCGCTGCTTGCGTGGAACCGTCCGCTCTCAACCCCCCACTCCGCTGCTGCTGCCCCCCCCCACAACTAGTCTGCAGAGCTGGAAAGGTTGCGGACTGCAGTTTTAAAGCATACTAATTTAACCCAGAGGTCTGAGGCCATGCACCCCCACGTGCCGTTGTTCCAATGACACCCTCCCCCACTTGACCCAAAATCTGAATTCAGGGGAAAATACAGGTAGTCCTCGACTTACGACATCAATCGAGCCCAACATTTCTGTCGCTAAGCGAGATACGTGTAAACATGTGCCCCATTTTACGACTGTCAGGATTCCGACTAATGAAGCACTTCAAAGAACTTTCAGGCATGTTCCCTAAAGCCTTTATTACAGAGCTACAAATTGCCGGTCACCACCATGGACATTTTGATGCCAGAATCTGACTTCCTCTCGCTGGCATCAAACTTTTTTTGCTAAACCCCTCCCTTATCTTGCAGTCACAAGTCACATTATCCAATTAGTGTGAAGGTCAAAAGTTTACTTCCTCTTTCTTTCCTGGACTTTTTACCCCCCCCCCCACTCTAAGCTATGTATTAACCCAGTAAATACCAGACAGTTTTGCATATTGTCAAAGCAAGAATATACAGTATTTGCAGCATTGGCAACGACCTTTCTGGCCACAGGGATGAAGTGAATCGCTACAGTTGTGAAATTAGTGACACAGTTGTTAAGCTAAAGGCTACCCAATAGCCATCACGATTGTCTCTTGGAGCCCATTATAAATGACAACTTCCTCCCAGCGTTAATTCTCTTATATCAAACATGTACTTACGATCGGAAGAATATTCCACTTGGGACGACGGAGCGGCTGTTCCTTCACTCGCCTGAGAAACAGCGAGGTTGTCGGCTTGAGCTTTGCGAACAAGGGCGGCCAACGGGTGATCAGGATCCACGACCTTGAGAGGCTACAAGAGGCAAACACAAGGAGCCGAGGTGGCGCAGCAGTTAAGAGTGCAGTCCTGCAGGCCACTTTAGCTGACTGTGTTCAGCAGGTCAGCGGTTCAAATCTCACCGGCTCAAGGTTGACTCTGCCTTCCATCCTTCCGGGGTAGGTCAAATGAGGACCCAGATTGTTGGGGGCAATGTAAATATATATATATATATATATATATATATATACACACACACACACACACATACATACACATTGCTTACTGGTGTACACCGCTTAGAGCAGTGATTCTCAACCTTTCTAATGCCGTGACCCCATAATACAGTTCCCCATGTTGTGGTGACCCCCAAGTGGGTGTGGCCACCAATAAGAGGGAGTAGGACAGCTAGGGAAAAGGGAAAAAAAATGGCGGACAGCATGGTTTGGCGACCCCCGTGAAATGGTCATTCGACCCCAAATGGGGTCCCGACCCACAGGTTGAGAACCACTGGCTTAGAGAGTGCTCGCACTTAAGTCTCATAAATAAATAAATAAACGTCACTGGGGCTGGACTCCCTCACACTGACTGCCCAACATCAAATGATCGTCCCTGTGGTTCAGAAAAACACCACAGGTTCTTCAACCACATTGGCCAGGATGATTCCAACTGCTTGCTGGAGATAGGATTGATTTATCCGGTTTATATCCCGCTTTCATTATTTTTGTAAATAACTCAAGGCAGTGATCATATCTAATACTCTTCCCTCCTTCTATTTTCCCTGCAACAACGATCCTGTGAGGTGGGTTAGGCTGAGACTGATTCAAAGTCACCCAGGTGACTTTCATGCCTAAATTGGGACTATAACTCACCTGGAGATTGGCCCAGTCATTTAGGCCCAAAGCCTAAATTGGGACTATAACTCACCATCACCTGGAGATTGGCCCACAGTCATCTAGCTGGTTTTCTTGCCTAAGGCGAGACTAAAACTCACACTCTCCTGGTTTCCAGGCCAGCATCTTAACTACTATACCAAACTGGCTCTTTATTCTAGGATTACTAGGAGGGACAACGGTTTGTAATTTTTACCAATAGAAGAGAACTTCCTTTGTCATTATTAACTTTGATTGTGCTTTTGCCCATCAAAAAAAAGGTGGGGGAAAATGTTGAATTGTCTCTCTTCCCTGAAAGAAACAGGGTGGACAGCAGAGAAACCCCTTCAGAGACAACAGCTACCAGAGAGAGAGAGAGAGAGAGAGAGAGAGAGAGAGAGAGAGAGAGATGGAAGAAGGGAAATCACAAAGGTTTTTGCTAGGAGATAAGAGGGGGAAAAAAACCCCTCACTCCATATAGTGTGCAAAACTTTAAGGGCATTATCTAGCACAGTGGTTCTCAACTGTAGTCAACCGGTCGTAAGTCGAGGACTACTCAACTGGTGCAGCACCGTTTTCAGAATGGGACTTTTGGTGGGCTCAGCAGGGCAGAGACAGTCTGGACAATTCCTATTGGCTTTCGAAAGCCAATAGAAGAAAAGGGAGTAGCACAGCTAGGGAAAAGGGGGAAAAAATGGCGGACTGCGTTGTTTGGCGACCCCCGTGAAATGGTCGTTCGACCCCAAATGGGGTCCCGACCCACAGGTTGAGAACCACTGATCTAGCATTACCGTGTTTCCCCGAAATAAGCCCTAGCATGGTTTTTCAGGATGCTCGTAATATAAGCCCTTCCCCCCAAATAAGTCCCAGTTAAGACCATCAGCCAGACGGATGCATTTAGTACTATATTTCCCCCAAAATCAGACCTAACGAGAAAATAAGCCCTGATGGGTCTTTTGGAACAAAAATTAATATAAGACCTGGTTTTATTTTGGGGAAACACGGTAGTAACCTGGAAGAAGGGGGAAAAAAAGGGCAGGGAGGGATTTTTTTGTACAGGAATTTAACAGCAGTTTAAAACTCCGTTTAAGACTTGATGTTTTCTGCTCAGAGAAAATGGGTATTGCTTCAGAAAAAGGTCGAGCCGGCTGCATTTACCTTCATCAGCTCTTCTAGCCTATTCTGTTTCTTAGAAGCGAAAAGGCTGGGATGCAGATAGTTGCCTTCGTTGTCATCATCATCGTCATCACCAGATTCCACGGCATCTGCCAAGGGAAGAACAGAAACGATGAGACCTTTTTTATTTATTTACTGTATTTAATGGCAGTATTACAGAGAGCCACATCGGGACAGCCGTTAATCAGGATGCTGAAAGGAAGGAGTCAAAAGGCCAAGGCAAGCCAAACTGCCTGGACGTTGGGAGACACTGCAAATGACTTTGCCTTGAAGGCATCTACACTTCTTGGGCAAGCTCACCCCTACACAGCAGCATCCATCTTGCAAATACAAGTAGTCCTCGATGGTTTTGTTTAGTGACCGTTCCAGGTTACAAGGGCACTGAAAAAAAGCAACTTAGGATAGTTTTTCAGGTGTCCCTGTGGTCAAGTGATCAACATTCAAGACACAAGTCAACCGATTCATATTTGTTTCACATGCAGTGTCCCGGGGGGAGGTCACGTGATTCCCCCTTTGGCGGCCTTCTAACCAGCAAAGTCAATGAGAAGGATGGATTCATTTAACAACTGCTTTGCTGACCTAACAACCTCAGCCATTCTCTTAACAACTGGAGCGAGAAAGGTCGTAAAATGGGGGCAAAAACTCACTTAACAACATTTTGGGCTCATTGGTGAATTCTGTTTGTCTTCCCGACTCTCTGCTAGTCATAGAGCTAGTCCTCCACTTATGACCGGTTCCTTAGGGACTGTCTGAAGTTACGACAAACCTATTTTAGGGCTGACTTGTGATGGTTGGGTTCCTTCTGCAGTCCCATGATCAGACTTTGGGTGTTGGGCAATACAGCTGCATTTGTAGCTGTTTGCAGGATCCTGCAGTCACCAGGCCGCATTTTATGATAGTTTTGAAGAAAACAGGCACTTTGTTTGTGTGGTTTTGTTTGTTTGTTTGTTTGTTTGTTTGGCAAAACTGTGCCCACAACAAGTCAAGATTTCGCTTTTCAACCACTGCAGAGAAAATCAACCCATGTTACAAGCACGATGGGCAGGCTCCACCACGCCGAGGACTACCTGTGTAAAGCAACATTTCCTGCCTGGAATGTTTAAGCCGAAATGTTTTCTCAAAGCTACCGTATATGCCGGCATATTAGGCGACCCAGCGTATAAGACGACCCCCGTCTTTATCGCCGAGCCACATTCCTAGAACGTTGTCTTATACGCCGGAAACTACCAGTATTTACGGCGTATAAGATGACTTGGCGTACAAGACGACCCCCGTCTTTGGTGCCGAGTTTAGCGTTTCTGGAAGTCGCCTTATACGCCGGCATATATGGTACTTGTTACTTTTATAAAAGAGCCCTGTCGAAAGAGGAAAACTGTATCAATGCAAGCATAAAACGTCAGGGTTTTTGTATGTGTGTGTGTGGTTTTTTTTTATTTTAAAAAATGGATTTAAAAAGGAACGGGTAAACGCTGCATAACTGCAGATTGGGGAGGCTGTCAGTTCGAAGCATTTAGACTCCTAATCCTCTCTCTGTAGCCTTTGGAAAAACGACTTAAAACATCTGCAGCAGATATTAGGAAACAGCTTTCTCAGCTGTCAGACGCTGGAGTGGTTCAGACAGGAACGCACGAGCTTACAGCTGCCTGACACCGTGTTTCATAAAAAAAACAAACCAAACAACGAAAAAAAAAAAAGCAACCAACCCTCCTAATCACTTACTTTTTTCCTCTTCTTTTTTCTTCTCCGTAGCATAGCGCCCTTCTTTCATGGCTTTCTGAATAAATTTGTAGTAAGGATTGAGGTAGTGATCAAACCGCAGGAAATCAAACTGGGAGTTGCGCGCCTGTTTTGCCTTCAGCATAATCTCAAACTGGGCTCCCTGCTTGCAGACAAAATTGGCCGTCCGTTCGATGATGGCGTGCATTTTGGCGGTGGGGGGCTACGGGGAGAGGGAAAAAAAAAAGTCACGTTCATCTTTAACAAGCTGCAGTTTTTCTTTTGGTTCAGGCCTCCCTTCCTTCTTTTTTTTTTTCTCCATGCTGTGGCAAATTATCCGAACGCTGGCGGCAGCGTGCCTCACTCAAAAAAGGAAAATCAGACGTGAATCTTTTAAGTTCTCCCCACTGCAGTTATGCAGGGCAATGCAGGGATTTTACAACAAATTAATAAAGACAAAGGCAGGGGTGTAATTTTGCAACTTATGATGCCAAAACCGAGCACAGCTCGGCTGTGGATGAGCAGAAAGCCATCAAATCTTCCATCTGCCTGGAATTGCCACTATAAAAGTGGGAAACCATAACGCATTGCCACTATAAAAGTGGGAAACCATAACGCATTACTTGCGAACCGTGCTCATCCAATAAGCAGTAGGTTAGAGAGATAAATTCTGGAAAAGCTCCTGGATCTCATGATTACAAAGCAAGAAGGGGGGGGGGGAACGTGGCCATTAGAACAGCAAAAAGCTCCGGAAAAAGGCCAATTTCCTTGCCTTTTTCCATTTATAAGCTGACCGCAAATAGTCCACATTACAGTTTTATTCTTTTTCAATATTGGTGCAATTGCTACCTGGGGCATTAACCGGCAACTGGGCGTCCTCGCCCCTTTTTTAAGGGATCTTGAAACCACACAATTTCCATTATTGCTAAAAAGAACGGTCGGGGCAATGAATACACCAAAAAGGGAGTGTGACTCTTTTATGCTAAGCATTTACCAACAAGAACGTTACCTAAATAAAACACAGGTAGTCCTCGACTTACAATAGTTTGCTTAATGACCATTTAGCTACAACGGCACTGAAAAAAAGTGATTTACGACTATTTTTCACACTTGGGAACCGTTGCAGCATCCCCAGGGTCATGTGGCTGAAATTCAGAGGCTTGGCAATTGACTCATAGTTATGACGGTTGCAGGGTTCCCGGGTCACGTCTGGCAAGCAGTCATTGGGGAAGCCGGATTTACTTAATTATTTTCTTAATTATACTTAATTATGAGCAAGGGCAGTGATTCACTTAATAATTGTGGCAAGAAAGGTCGTTAACATGGGGCAAAAGCAAGAGAAATTTTGAGCTCAGTTGCGACTGTAAGCAGAGGACGACCCGTATGGGAGGGTTTTGGTTTTTTTGAACAATGATCTTTTTTTTCATTCTTCAGTCAAATCACCTGAGAAATGTAGCATGTAAAGCTTTTAGAGGAATACCCTGGGATACCGTTGTACTCCCCACAGCATAAAAAGTTTTTTATTAAAGGTCCACCTCCCTACTTTCTAAAAGAGATCCAAGCAAGAAAATGTGTCTCCACCCCCCCCCCCCCATTTTTCTCCACCAACCTCTAAGTTAGGTAGGCTTGGCCAAGAGAAACTGACTTGCCCAAAGTTGTGCTTCCACAACTGAAAGCAGATTAAAGTACCCTAACTCGCCTTCCACCTCATCTGCTGCATCAAGCGAGCCGTTTTTAAAGACAGTGGCTAAAATTAGGCGGCAAAGTGTACCCACTTCGTCCTTGTGATTTACACAGTAGGACACGAATTCTGCAACGGTTTTGTAGATTCCTTATGCAAGGCTCCAATCATGCAGTTAATTTCAAAGGCAATCAGGGAACAATGTCTTTAGAAAAAAAAAGAACACGGAGCCACCCACACCAGTTTATGTCTCCTTTTTCAACTACCTGAAGCCTATCTAAGATAGACTCCTGCATCTGTGAAAAGACTTAAGGGGAAAACACCAGAGCAATAGCACTAGCACTAGTTAGACTTATATACCGCTTCACGGTGCTTCACAGCCTTCTCTAAGATGTTTACAGAGTCAGCATATTTGCCCCAACATTCTGGGTCCTCATTTTACCGACCTCGAAAGGACGGAAGGTTGAGTCAACCTTGAGATGGTGAGGATCAAACTCCTGGCAATGAGCTGAGCCTAACCACTGTGCCACCATAGCAAGTAATTCTGATGTTATTAGAGATTTACAAGAGGTCCTCTTGGGTGGATAACCATGATTTATTAACAAAGAGGGTTTTAAAAAGTCTCAAGTCATAAACCTGGGGGCAGCAATGCTAAGGAAAGGAATTCCGCCGGCCAGAAATAAAACAAAAACAAGCAAAAAATCCGGAGAAGGGCTACAGAAGCTTTTTTCACTGGACATCTGAAAGAATTTTAGAGATCTGAGTTCTGTGCCCACCTCGTGGAATTTAACCTTCTTTCAGAATTTCAAACTACCAAGTTGCTTTGCCTGTTATCAAAGGACTCTGATTCATGTTTGCAAGCGTTAATTCACAAGAGGAAGGCCGGTACCTGCATCTGATCTAGTTTAATTGTAAAAGGGCTCACGTCTATGCAAATGCATCTCTTATTTTCGTTCTAAGTCAGTGGTTCTCAACCTTTTTAATGCCGCGACCCCCCAACCAGTCGTAAGTCCAGGACTACTCAACTGGTGCAGCACCGTTTGCAGAATGGGACTTTTGGCGGTCTCAGCAGGGCAGAGACAGCCTGGACAATTCCTATTGGCTTTTGAAAGCCAATAGAATTAGACTCTATTCAAGAGAGTCTATTCTATTGGCTTTCAAAAGCCAATAGAATAAAAGGGAGTAGCACAGCTAAGGAAAAGGGGAAAAAAATGGCAGACTGCGTTGTTTGGCAACCCCCGTGAAATGGTCGTTCGACCCCAAATGGGGTCCCGACCCACAGGTTGAGAACCACTGTTCTAAGTTATTCTGCAGATGGTAGGTTGGAAAGCTGCTAGAACAACACACCTAAAATGCAATAAGCAGGCAAATAATATTGCGCTGCCTCTGCGAATCAGGAGAAACTAGACGATCTCGATAATAAAATATGAGTTACAGCAGAATGATTCAACTAGGAAGAGCCAGACTGGCAAAATAATTCCAGGGTTGTAAATCTTACTGAGAAGCCTCAGACAACCTTCCTAAAATATGTGAGTGTGTGTGGAGGGGTGGGGTGTTCCCCCTCATCACAGCATTATTATTGCAATTGTTTGCAGTAGACCAACTATTCTTTTACAATATCAACAGTATCCGACACGGTGCTAAATAATGAGAAACTCACTCTGGGAATCTCTTCCCAGAAGATGTTTACTCCTGGTTTACTCCCAGGTAACTATGAGTGGGACTACAGGTAGTTCTTTTAGTGACGGTTCAAAGTTACAATGGCACTGAAAAAAAGTGATTGTTCATTTTTCATACTGCTGACCCATCCCAGCATCACGGGATCAAAATTCAGATGCTTGGCAACCAACTCATATTTATGACGGTCACAGCGTCCCTGTGTGTGTGTGTATGTGTGTGTGTGTGTGTGTGTATGTGTGTGTGTCATGTGATCCCCGTTTGCGACCTTCCGAAAGGCAAAATGAGTGGGGGAAAGCCAGATTCACTGTGGGACTATCTTAGCAACTGCAGTGATTCGTTTAACCACCGTGGCGAGTAATGAGGCAAAACTCACTTGACAAATGTCAATCTGCAGTCGTTAAGTCGAGGACTACCTGGGCAGCCTAAATCTGCCGATCTCAATCAATGCAAGAGCCAGCAATGTGAAGATAAAGATATTCAGGAAGCTTTTGGAACTGAATCTCCGAACAGATGTTGACCGAAGATTTACTTGTTGCATTATTCAAAATGACAGACAGGAAGACGCAGTAGATACTCCACGCAGTTGATCTGTATTAACAACATACTCACCAGTTCCACATCGGAAGGTACGCTCAATCCCGAAGGGGCGATAAACGGCTCTTCGTTTTCTTCTAGGCTTTCTGCCTTGGCTGCGGCCACTGATAAATAAATCAGAAGAAGGCAACGCTATCATACAAAGCTCTCTCTAGCAAACTGAACGCAAACAAAACATCGAGTGAGCTTCACTCGTCGCCAGTCTATTTTTTCCCCATCTGCATGTTTCCAGGCTGCACGATAAGTGCCAATTTTCTTTCATTACCTCTGTTTATTGGGTTAGCCTGCCTCTGCTGAAGAACGCAAACATGTTTTGCTAACCCGATTGTGTAACTACTATTGCTTAGGAGACCATGACTATGAGGCGGGATTGAGCCTTAATGCATCTCGGCAAAATGGATGGCGCAGATGTTCGGTACACGTTCCACCTGAGCGACACCCCAGCGAACATCGCTTGAACAACCCAGAACCAATTAAAAGAAGAGACTTCGAAGAGGATCCACCAGTGATTCCGAAGTTAAGAGCCATTAGAAGGAGACGGGCCGCACGGAGGAAGCCCCATCCATCTTGGTTACATCAATCAGACTGCAGATTTTTCCTTTCTCACTGCCAAGAAGATGAATCCTTGATGCGTGTATTTACACAGCCAGCTTCTAGTTTTTGAAATAATCTGTACTCTGCCTTGCTAGATTAATTCACAGGAGTAATTAGGGAGCTTGCTGGGATAATAACAACATTTCATTCATTAATGTCTTTTCGCTGATACCTGGGTGGCTACTTTTTACAAATCAGTAGCTACAATTCAGCCACTTAAAAAAATGGCCAAAACTGTTCAGCTTATATATTTTTTAAAAGTTGGCAGCATTCTCTTTCCCATCCACAAGTCATCCCAAAATTGGCTGCAATCACACTGCCTAAATTGGTCCATTGTGTAAGGAAATTTTGACGGGGGAATGCTTGTTTTGTACCTTATCTGGATAGATAACTAGTCCTCGACTTGTAACAGTTCATTTAGCGACCGTTCAAAATTACAACGGCACTGGAAAAAGTGACTTATGACAATTTTTCACACTTATGACCGTTGCAGCAGCATCCCCATGTGATCAAAATTCAGACACTTGGCAACTGATTTGTATTTAGGACGGTTGCAGTTCCCCTGGGTCATGTGAACAGTTTTCTGACGAGCAAAGTCAATGGGGAAGCGAGATTCACTTAACAACCGTGTTACTAACTTAACAACTGCAGGGATTCCCTTAACATCTGTGGCAAAAACAGGTCGTAAAACTCACTTAACGCCTGTCTCACTTAGCAATTCAGAATTTGGGCTGAGGGCCTCATTGGCTGCATGGCATCAGACCCCTGGGTTAAAGCTGTCTGCTCTACAAAGATTTACCTGTAGTAACTTTATAGATTAACTCATTAATTCACTGAGTGGCATGCTGTATCCACTTGATATAGTAATCCATCACTAGATGAACTCCGTTAACCTTCAATTCAATTATTTTCCTGTCTTAGATTTTTAAACAACATGCAAGAACTGGGATCCGAAGAAAATATACAAAGCCACATGAGAACACATTAGTTTCTCCAGAGCGGGTGGATGCAGCATCGAAAGGACTAGGGGAAGATTAAGAGGGATCTACTTAACAACCAGAAGAGACATTTTGCCCTTGTTTAATACCAGACAAAGCATACACAACCCTTTGATCTATCCCAGAATCAATAAAGTTGTAAATTCCTTTCTGCAACTTCCCAGTGGTTAATTATTAATAGCACCCCCCATTTAATCTGGAGGAGCAAACTCAGAATTGTAATTCTGTTACAGGGAAGGGAAGGCAAGCCTCAGATTCAATACAACCAGTGTGAGTGTGCATGCTTGTGCAACGGGAGATAGGTGGATCAAATTCACGTCTCCCATACAAAGTGAGTCCTAATGGCTCTCAACGATTGTGATGTACAGTTCGTACGAATGCGCCTGCGGCAAATCAAGTCAGCGGGCTCAAATTTAACCATAATCTGACAGTGGCACAAAAAGTAGGGTTCTAGACAGTTGAAGTCTGTGGGGACTACAAACCGTAGAGCAGGCAAAGCGATTTAACAATAACTGTCTTATTTTTTTTCCCCCATTTATTTTTAAACATTTCCTGCAATGCTGTTTTTCTAATGCCACTGTCACTGGGAAGAAAAACAAACAAACATGTTTTCAGAGACACTCACAAACAGCTAAGCTCACTTCAGGGAAGTTGTTTTAATGATCTGTCCTAAGAACATCTGTTTCTCTTCGGTGGGATTGAAAAACTCGTGTGATTTGACACTACGGCAAGCCTTACCATTACAAGTCTTAAAAGCATTGTGAGCTTCTCAAAGAGCAGCAGGCAAACATCACGCATTAATCATGTAACAGCTACCACACTATCCGTTCTCCCTATACTCAAGCTGGATTGGATCTGGGCCACTTAGAACTGCCGAAGGAAACGGATCATCGTGAAACTTTAATTTACCAGCAAAAAGGATAACGTGACACTTGTAAACATGACAGTCTCTGGTGTTCCTTGTAGTATGACTGCCTAAGCCACTGGTGGTGCGTTTTATTTATTTATTCTTCAGCCACATTGTGCCTGTTACATTGCACAGAAAGGCAATGAGCAACATCAGCTGCAAGGCGGCAAAAAGTGAATGGAAAAAACTTTGACAGGATGCACGCTACATCCTGTAAGGCAACTTGACATGTCTCAAACCAGAAAGCTGACAGCCAAGTATTTGAAACAATGAGTAAGAATATTTCAGGGAATCTGAAAAAAAAACTGATCTGAATGATCGGGGTCTCACTTTCTTTGCTGGTTTTAAAAGGATTGAGTAAGCTAATACACCCGTTTTACTTACTTCCATGCCAGTTCCAAGCTACTTAATGTAAAGAAACTCTTCCAGCCTCTAAAAACTACAACATTTGAAAGCCAGCTTGGTCTAGTAGTTAAGTCACTACGTTAGAAGTCAGGAAATCACAAGGTCTAGTTGCACTTTAGGCATGAAAATAGGCTGGGTGACTTTGGGCCAATCACTAGGAGACAGTGAGTTCTAGTCCCGCCTTAAGGCATGAAAGCTGGCTGGGTGATAGTGGGCCAATCACCAGGAGACTGTGAATTCTAGTTCTGCCTTGGGCATGAAAATAGGCTGGGTGACTTTGGGCCAATCACTAGGAGACAGTGAGTCCTAGTCCCGCCTTAAGGCATGAAAGCTGGCTGGGTGAAATTGGGCCAATCACCAGGAGACTGTGAGTTCTAGTCCCGCCTTAAGGCATGAAAGCTGGCTGGGTAATATTGGGCCAATCACCAGGAGACAGTGAGTCCTAGTCCCGCCTTAAGGCATGAAAGCTGGCTGGGTGAAATTGGGCCAATCACCAGGAGACTGTGAGTCCTAGTCCCGCCTTAAGGCATGAAAGCTGGCTGGGTGAAATTGGGCCAATCACCAGGAGACAGTGAGTTCAAGTCCCGCCTTAAAGCATGAAAGCTGGCTGGGTGACATTGGGCCAATCAGTAGGAGAACGTGAGTTCTAGTCCCATCTTTGGTATGAAAGAGAGTTCAATTGGGGCCAATCATACTCTCTCAGCACAACGACTCACTGTGATCACGCCTGACTGCATAAAAGTACCGGGGTGATTGTAGGTGCAGATATGTCCACCATCCAGCCTTAATTTACCTTAACACAGTTTTTAACTTGCCCAAAGTTGGCAGTTATTGAAAGAATCCTTAGGAAAACTAAAGCAAAACTCGTCACTGTTATATGCATTAGACCAGGGGTAGGCAACCTTGGCTCTTTTATGACTCATGGACTTCAACTCCCAGAATACCTGAGCCAGTTGAAGTCCATGAGTCATAAAAGAGCCAAAGTTGCCTACCCCTGCATTAGACCAATCACCATAAAACTAAAACACCGCCCTTAACCCTGCAAGTTGCTCTCCGATCTTTTGAACGGAAGCCTTCAAAACTCAACCGAAGGCACAATTCAGATTAGGAATCTGAATTGGAAACCCTGTTTTCAATAACATTTTTTAAGGCAAACATTACGATTTCTTTGATCTCCTGTCACAAAATGCTAGCGAACTAGGGCACTGACTTGGGGACAGAAAAAAAAAAACATTAGGATCACAATAAAAGAAGTGGGGAAAAAAAAAAGAATCAGAATAAAAAGGCACCGCAAGCATCTCATGTTGTTTTTATCACTTGAAAACACGATCACAGAAAACCACAAAAGAGATGTTTTGTTTTGGGTGCAGGTATCCCTAAACTGGGAAACTGAAAGCCTTCCATCAATAGAACTAGAAAATCCTAGCCCACCCAATAGGATTTTTCTGAGCTCTTTAAAGAAAACAATTTTTCCCTTACCTTTGGCCTTAAATGGCTGTTCTTCTTCCTCAGTGGGTTCTGATGGATCATAATAATCACTACTGTAGGTAAATCCCACTGCATTATAGGATCCATCCTCAGCCAAAGCTTCACTCAGTCTCTTGTATTCTTCCTCTTGAAGAAAAAAGCAACACGCAATTAAAAAAAGGGTGGAAAAATATAAATACAGCTAACTTTTTTTTTTTTTTTTTTTTTAAAGAACGACACATATTTCACCCTAGCATTCAAGCACAAACGGTACAGCAAGCTGACCACGTGGGTCAGTTATGGACAATGGTATTTCTGCCCAACGGCAGAAGATTTGAGTTTTTTCTTTCTTCTTCTTCTTTTTGGATGGTCTCCGTTTGTATTTTTTTTATATATACATATATTTCTCCCTGCTGAGACAAGCATGACCGTCATTTCTACTCAAAAACACAGGAGGAAAAAAAAAAGAGAGACAAGAACTTTTCGATGATACAATACTGTTAAAGAAGAACAGTTAAAAGGGCGTGCTCAATGCTCAGCTTGCCCTCAAAACGTGGGCAATTCTGGGTGGCTCTACAAATAAACTATCCTGAGGTCCTCAGATACGCAAAGACGCCTGTTTTTCGAATCCACTGGGGTTACTGTCAAAATAATATCAGAAAGAGTGAGTATATAACGAATGGGAAACAATGATATTTTTCTTTCTTTTTTTAAAAAGTTACATAAGACTTTCTTCAAAGGAGGAAAAAAAAACATTTATTTTTCTTTTTCAATTCAATGTGTGCTATTCTCAGGAAATTGTCCTAGAGCTTATACCTTGCCTTGCCTCTTCCTCAAGCAAGTCCGTACGCAAGGCTAAATACCTCTCTTCGTCACAGAGAGCTTCAATTCGAGCTTCCTCTTCAGACAATTGGTAATCTCTGTTCCAGGTAGCATATTCGGCGTCGTATTCGGAAAGGTCGTGCAAGTGGCCACGCCCATCGTATCTGCAACAGGAAGAGGAGGGTCAACCAAAGGGACTTCGGGCTCGGCTTCCTGCCAAATCTACCAATACTTACCACCTATAATGCAAAAGAACCATCTAGGCACCCCGTTAAACTGACTAAAACACTTCTGACCCGCTTCCTTTAACAAGCACACACAAAAAAAACCAAGCCCCTTTGGGGAGTTATGGGTTACAATTAAAAGCGGACTATCTAACCGGCTAAAGAGGAACCAGCTGCTTTGCGTCCTTACCGTTTGTGGTTCAACCACTTAACGAGCCTAGCCAATATATGTAAGTAACGGCTAGCACAGAGGGGGCTTTTTTTTTCTTTGTCTGCAAAGGCAAATTACTTACATTTACACAAACCCAAGTACATAAATACCTATCCGTAAGAACCAAACGGTGGGCAATTCCGCGCTCCTTTCTGCTAGTCTCGAATTCTCAGAAGGAATCTTCACCAAAGAAACTTGGATCCATTGGAGGTAAAATCATGGCTAGGCTCGGCCCCTAGCTATGCGGCTGAGGAAAGAAGTCCTGGGTTATGTGATAGAGAGACACACACACATACATAGGAACAGTAACATTGGTGCAATTTAAGGAGGTTCTCTGCAGGAAACGCTCGCCGATCCCCTGAACTACAATCCATCGTTTTATGTTGGGTGTTTATTTCATTGGGTCACTATTATATATACAAAATATATTTGTAATTGTTGCGGTTTGTAAGCTGCTTAAGCATCTGTGTGGGCTAGTAATTTTTTCTGCATAATCTGCGAAAGGCCGGTAATTAAAAGAGGATTAGGCTAAGACCTAAAATGTTTTTCTTTGTGGCTGGGAAACACGAGCAGAAGGGAGCAACTGGGTCCATTCCACCATTCTGAGAGGAAAGTGGAATATGAAGTTTGGTTAAAGGGCTCATCAGATGAAAACTAATTAAGTAATTGACTTTATTATTATTATTTAAAAAAAACCAGACTTATGAATAAAAAGGCATTTTCTTCTAAGGTGTAATTATCTCAATGCCATTTTGCTTCCTCAAAAACAAACAATTCCAGAGAGAGCGAGATAAAAAACAAAACCCCCGCTGAAAGATTATCAATAAATAATTTAGAGCCAGTTTTCTGTATAGTGACTACATCTATCAAACCTCCTTAATTTACAAATGTAAATTAATAAAAGATCGTGAGCATATGCATAGCTTGCTCCTACCATTTTTACAGTTTTCAGTTCTCAGAAATTGTGGAAGAGCACTGGCTGATATATGCTACTCTTTTGACTGATGACCATGAAGCTGAATTGTCAAATCAATGTTTAATTTACATTTTAATTTAATTCCAGGAAGTAACAAAATGTTGCCACGTGCAAGACATATGCCATGTGCTATCAGCAATACATTTTTGTTCTGAACGTTTAAAGAAAATTCATGTTAAATGTTTGCCAAAAAATCATTATTAGTGAGTTTCGTAGTTCCCAGTAGGCTTTGGGTTGGGAATTGGGATCTTGTAAACTTACAAAGCTTGTGTAAAGCAAAAATGGAAGAAGCAAGCTCTTACAATATGCCACACTCTACTCTTTTCAAACCAAAGCCTTCAGACTCTCGTTGCACTACTCTAGGAGAATTGTGCTAACAACAACGCCATTTCAGTCTCTTTGGCTTTCCATTCTCCTCCCCCCCCCCTAAAATGCCAATAGAAACACTTCGATCTTCCAAAACAATGAAATTAAAATCAAAGAATCACCTGTCAGTTTTGGCTTTAAATAGCAGGAGTCCCAAGCATAACAGCATCACCGAAACCATTATCTAAACGCTGTACCATTTTGTGGTAATAAAATGCGTTTCCATGAAACTACTAATACTATTAAACTAAACAGCTGGAACATCTATCTACAAATCAATGAAAACCAAGGGTTTTTTTTGCCAGAAGCCATACAAATGTAGCCAATACATGCCACAACTTCCATCACGCTAAAAGCAGCATTACTGCACTAAGTGAATTAGAGTATTAGGAATTCAGAAACAAAGATTCTACTTTGTCAAACAAGAAGCTCCCTGGAGAATTTTAAAACAGTCACTAAACCTCAGTTTAACCTTCTCTACAGGACCATTACAAAGATTGCTACGATACTACTCTGAAGAGGAAAATAAAACGCAACAAAGCAAAGACTCATCAATGAATTGTAGTAGGAAAGGAGGAGAATACAAGATTCACTTGTACAGGCCATTAAGTCACTTACTGGAAATTCAGGCAGGCAAAAAAATGGCCTAGAGAAAAAAGTCATACCACATAACAGATTTTAGGATTAATTTACTACCCTAGAGAGTATGTTTTTGCTAGGATAAACATTCAGAGACACAGATAGTCTTCCTTCCGTTTCATAACAGGAGTCATTAAAGACTTTGGTTTGAAAAGAGGGTACTCCAACCTCAGTTTATACAGGATCCACTCCTTCAAGGTGGAGGGGATATAAACAACACAGCGATCCTCTGCCAAGGAGAAAGAGACTATGGGGAGGTGAGGAGGGACTTGTAGATTTATCTAGATTAGATAAACCTTGTAGCTTTCTAGATTTCCAAAGCTGGCTTTCCTGGAATCTAAACAAAACTTTACAAATTTTGTAGGGTTTTTTTTTTTTTTTTTAAAAAAAAAAAGATGTGCTGTGGCTTGAACAGCTCAAGAAGCAGAATTCGAGGGAAGCTCTTAATCTCTCTCTTTTTTTTTAATAGCTATTATAGGAGCCATATACACCCAACTTAAGAGAAGCCATGCTGGTCTCTTCCATCAAAAACTAAACCAGCATCACTTTAAAGGCAGCTAAGATTCCATGGTTTAAAAACCATTCAGTCAAATATGTGAAGGATTTGTTTTAGTGAGTGGTCTCAGTATTGAAACCACACCTTTTAAAAATAATGTTGGTTCTTTGGAAGGCTGCTATTATCAAATCAAATTTTCTATACCTGCACCCAAAAAAACAGAAGCCTTTTTGGGGAGAACAGCTCTACCCCGGCATCTGTCATAAACAAACTGTCATGGGTAAGCATAGTCCAATACATGACTTCAGAAAGCTACTCAGAAGCTGTATTTGCAGATATGTTTTTTAAAAAAATGTTGAAAGGTGACTTAGCACTTCCACTAATAAGTTTTTTTAAGGTTACAGTATATTGTATTTATGCCCTGGTATTGCAACCAAGTGATGGCAAGTTTTGTTATTCACCAAGAACGTGCAGTAACTTGCAGCACAGATTTTCCAACAGCTGGAATTATATAATTAGATTGTTTATTCAAAAATAAACAGAGTGTCCACTATTATGTGGTTGCAAGAACCTAATATGCAAAAAAACCTTTTTACTGGTAAGAGCCGAGGTGGCGCAGCAATTAGAGTACTGCAGGCCACTTTAGCTGACTGTGTTCAGCAGGTCAGCGGTTCAAATCTCACCGGCTCAAGGTTGACTCAGCCTTCCATCCTTCCGGGGTAGGTAAAATGAGGACCCAGATTGTTGGGGGCAATGTGTATGTGTATGTGTATGTGTATGTGTGTATATATATATATATATATATATATATATATATACACACACACACACACACACACACACACACACACACACACATTGCTTACTGGTATACACCGCTTAGAGAGTGCTTGCACTTAAAGCGGTATATAAGTCTCATAAATAAATAATCTTAGGAGCTCCCTCTACAATAAGACTAAACAGCTGAATGGAAACAACAAAATTCAAAACACCGTATTGGAATTATGGGGCCTAGGCAGCCATCTCCAACCTGGACAGATGGGCCAATGGGAGTTGTAGTCCAACATGCTGAGATCACCAGGGAGGTGGAAACGGATGATAGGAGTTCTAATTTAGGCCATTACAGGTATTTCATATATTGCACCTATAGATTATGAGATTTATATTGAAGTACTCATTTAGTGTAGGGCAGGGGTGTCAAACTGCCGGCCCGCAGGCTAGACGCGTCAGGCGGAAGCTGCGCCCACCCCATTGCCGGCAATGGTATAAGTCTCCTGGTATGTTGTGCAACATCACATGACGTCAAGAGTTGGACGTGTCTGGCATAGGGCATCCAAAAGCAGCCAAGGATGCTGGATAGGGATTGTAGTCCAGCATATCCAAAAAGGAAAAAAAAAAACAGCAAAGGACAGGGATGGGGGTTGTAGACCAGCCTGTCTGAAATCAGCTAAGGAAGACAGATGGGGATGGGAGATGTAGTCCAGCCTGTCTGAAATCAGCCAGGGAAGAACAGATGGGGATGGGGTCTGTAGTCCTCCAGCCTGTCTGAAATCAACTAAGGAAGACAAATGGGGATGGGGCCTGTAGTCCAGCCTGCCTGAAATCAGCGAAGGAAGACAGATGGGGATGGGGGCTGTAGTCCAGCTGGTCTGAAATCAGCTAAGGAAGACAGATGGGGATGGGGGCTGTAGTCCAGCCAGGGAAGACAGATGGGAGTTGTAGTCCAGCCTGTCTGAAATCAGCCAGAGCTGCTAGACCAGAATTTCTCAACCTTGACCATTTTAAGGCATGTGGACTTCAACTCCCAGAATTCCACAGCCAGCATTGCTGGCTGTGGAATTCTGGGAGTTGAAGTCCACATGCCTTAAAATGGTCAAGGTTGAGAAACACTGTGCTAGACAAAGATGGGAGATGTAATCCAGTCTTGTGAAACCAGCCAGAGATATATGGGGACTGTAGTCCAGCCCTGGCAGGAGGAGGAGGAGGAGGAGGAGGCGGCGGCAGGGACCAGAGGGCCGCCTTTCCTCGCCTGGGCCCTGCCCTCCCGCCTCCACCTTGGCAGAGGATCACCGGCAGCCCCCCCTCACCTTCCCACCCTCCCCCCAGCCCCACCCGGGCCACAAGGAGGCCGAGGACCGTCAGAAGGAGGAGAAGGAGAAGAAGAAGCAGCAGCACAACGACAGCAGCGACAGTCGGGCGGGGGGTTGCTGGGCACCGACCTATCGATCATGATGGAGGCGTCGCCCATCCAGGGGATCAACTGGCGGCCTTGCTCCTGCTTCAGCGCCTTCTCGTCGTCGCGGAACAGCTTGCAGGCGTAACCGAAGACCAGCAGCTCCACGCGGCCTCCCACGCCGCCGCCGCCGCTCCCGCCTTCGCCGCCGCTCCCGCTCGGCCCGCCGGCCGAGGCCGCCGCTGACGGGAGAGGTCCCACGGAGCCCAGCGTCCGCCCGGCAGGCACCGCCGCCGCGGCCTCCGCCCCGCTCGGCCGCCCGACATACATGGCCCGAAGAAGTCGCCGCTGGAGAGCCGGAGAAGGAGAAGGAAGAGCCGCCTCACCGCGACTCCGCGCCCGGCAGTCGCCGCTCAGGCCTCCCTGACGCCGCCATCGGCCGCGAGAAAATGGCGGACGACGCCCACTTCCGGTCCGAGGCTGGGGGAACGCCCGGAAGTGTTTCCGCCGACCGCAGGCTCGAAAGACCTCCTCGGCCGATTCGTCACCCGCTGAGGCGGTTTGGGGGGAAAGCAAAACAAAACAAAAAGGTCCTAACGGCGCGCCGAGGAAGGGCGAGGGAAAGGGTGGGTGGGTTTTCCTAGAGAGACGAAGGTGGGAATTAATTTAGGGTTAAAAAAAGTACGCCGCGGGGAGTGGCGGCGAAAGTGCGACCCCGAATGGGAAGTCCCAGGAGGAGCGAGGAAAGGAAGGGGGCGGGGTTTCGGTGAAGGGAGGGGGAGGAGGAGGAGGAGCATCAAAGGACTTCGTGCTTTGCAATCAGATTACAAATTGCAGATTGTATGATAGACAGACAGCTAGATAGACAGACAGACAGATAGATGATAGATAGATAGATAGATAGATAGATAGATAGATAGATAGATAGATAGATAGATAGATAGATAATGAAGAGAGAGAGAGAGATGGGTGGGTGGGTGGGTAGATAATGATGGATAGAGATAGATGATAGATAGATGGATAGATAGATATATAGATGGATAGATAATGATGGCTAGAGATAGAGATAGATACATAGATAAACAGACAGACAGACAAATATAATAGACATAGAGAGATAGAGACAGACAGACAGACAGACAGACATAGATAGATAGATAGATATGGATGGAGAGAGATGATAGATGAATGATGGATGATGGATGGATAGATATAGATAGATATGATAGAGATTCAGAGACAGACAGACAGACACAGACAGATAGATAAATTTTATTGTCATTTTTTTACTGTGGGCACAATGGCACACATTAAAAATGAAATGTAGTTGCTCTTATTTTGATTATTATTTTGATTATTATTGTTATTATTGATCATCGCACAGTCAACCACATGTTCAGCAGGATTTGGCATTTTTGTCTACCTATCGAGTCCTTACCAAGGCAGATGTGGATGTTTGAATTGATGGTGTTGCAGATCTCATCGCAGGATGGACGCTGTTTGCAATTGACTAATGGCGAATTTGTCAATGCCGATGATGGTGTCCAAGTGGTGCTCCAGTTGTTTTGGGATTGCACCCAAGGAGCCTATTACTATTGGTACTACCCTTGCTTGCTTTTGCTACAGTCTTTCTATTTCTATTTGTAGGTCTTTGTATTTTTTTATCTTCTCCAGTTCTTTCTCGTCTATTCTGCTGTCTCCAGGCACTGCCACGTCCACTATCTAGACTTTTTTGTCTTTCTTATCGACAATTGTTAAGTCCGGGGTGTATGTGGCAGGTGCTTGTCTGTTTGAATTCTTAAGTCCCAGAGCAATTTAACTTTTTCATCATCTTCATCATCATCATCGTCATTATTGTTATGATGTTTATTATTATTATTTGCTAAAAAGACCTGGAAGTCAATCCTTTTATTTCTCCCCCCCCTTGCACTTTTTTCCCCTTCCTCATTTTCCCACTATTTTCATTTTCTTTTCTGTTTTATATTCTAATAAATTTAATAAAAGTTTTCAAAACCGGAAAAGAGTTGCAGACTCTATTTATAGCATTATTATATTTAGGGCAGCAGTGATTAATGGCTTTATGGGCTTCTTTTAGTGATAACCAACCCATGCTGCTGTGTTAGTTCCCAAGAGAACCACCTCTGCTGTTAAAATTTTGCAAGGGAAACTGTGGTCGTAAGCTGAGGACTACTATAACAATATGCCCTACCCAGTCACACCTTCATTATAAAGGTGCTATCTTTGCTTTAAAGCAATTATTCTCAACCTCTGGGGCTTTCAACACTTGTAGACTTCAAGTCCCATAATTCCCAGCCATGCGGACTTCAGATCCTAGAATTTCCTGTTATACCTGACATCACTGGGCCTGTGAGGTCTGTGACATGTTGACAAAATAGCGCAAGCCTAATTTCCTTTGAAAGAGTTACTTTTGCCCAGAATCTGGTAAATTCTGACATAAATTCTGGAATCAATCCTATTCTAGGCTTATCAAGAATATATATATAGTGATAAATTAAAAAATAATAAACTTTATTGTCATTGTGTGTGTATACATAGTATACACATACAACGAAATTTACGTGACACCCAAAGACCAGGTCCCCCACACATAATCCCCAAACATACTCCCACCCACCACAGTTCCCCACCCCTAAAACCACCCAAACATCCACCCAACAGACCAAGTAATACTGTCCAACAGTTCACTGATGGTGGCCCTTTAGTTCATTATTAAGTGCAATTACAGCTCTGGGATAAAAACTATTTAGAAAACGTGTGGTCCGAGTTTTAAATGTTCTATATCTTCTGCCAGAAGGCAACCGTCCAAAGAGATTGTAAGCAGGATGGGAAGAGTCTCTGAGAATGTTATGCAACTTCCTCAAACAGCGAGATTCAAAGATGTTGTCCAAGGCTGGTAGCTGGAGTTCGATAATATTCTGGGCAGTTTTAATGATTCTCTGTAGAGCTTTTTTGTCCGCTACAGAGCTGCTTCCATACCATGCAAGAATGCCGTATGTCAGGACATTCTCAATGGTGCTGTGATAGTAGGACAGAAGTAGATGCTGAGATAGATTTAGAAGGCCTCTTCTGTGCCTTCTTCACAAGCATGTTAACATTCATATACTTATGGAACAAACATACAGCTACAGATGGATATAAAATTCCTTCCTTGCATTTAGTGGACTGGCCTCGCGCTTAAAAGCTGCTTCTTCATGGAGCGATTGTAGGCTTAGGCGATTTGCAAATATTGGCACTCAAACTCTGCATCTAACGCCGCTTTGCATTTTCAAAGCCTGCCAAAGCACAATGTTGATTTAGGAATAAATGTCCATTTAGCCTTGTAGGCTTTTTGTGTGTGTGCCTTTTGTCCTCTGCTGAATTGTTTTCCCACCGGCTTTGGAAAAAAGGAAAAAAAGAAAAAGGATGTTTTGGAGAAGAGTGGGAAAGCAGGATAAATTCTACGCCTAATTGAAATAAAAATAATTGGTTGAATCAGTGCAGCTTTTTACCGCATTGGTGAGGCCACACTTGG